CCAGAACTAACTACTTATGAATTCGAACCTGAACCGGAAGCAACTACTTGTGAGTTTGAATCAGAACAGGAGTCAACTATCTGTGAACATGAACCAGAACCAACTACTTATGAATTCGGACCTGAACCGGAGCAAACTATCTGTGAACCAGAACCAACTACTTATGAATTCGAACCTGAACCGGAAGCAACTACTTGTGAATTTGAACCTGAAAAGGAGCCAACTATCTGTGAACCAGTACAAGAACCAGAACCAGAGGAACTTTGTATTACTCATGTATATGTGACTACTGAAGCTGAATGTCCTACTTCTCCGATAGAAACGCCAGAATTACATCCTCCTATTGAATATCCGACAGAAGAGCAAGATTCAGATCTTTTTGATGACTAATAATTGTTATAATCATTTATAATAACATAATTCACAGGTCCAGAGAATGTAGTAAAATAACGATAAGAACGTAAAATTTACAAGCTCTTCAAGTTTAAACAATTCTTTTATTTTGACTGTAATTTTGTATTTTATTCTTTATTTTCTTATACCAACATTTAATATAAATTGTTAATAATAAGTTATTGATGAAATATTGCAATGGTTTTCAAATCAATGGACTTTTGAAACGTGAATAATATTTAGCGTTTTGTGTAGTTGATATTTATAATGTGGACGGACTTTTGTCTGTGGTTGATATGCAAGCTCTATATATTGTGTTCACAATGATTGTCAAGGCATATGCGAAATAAAAGATTCAAGTGAAACAAAAACGAAAGTAATTTATCAATATCTTTCTATTCTAATCTCAACTGAGTCCTCGTATTCTAAATCGTCTGGAATAATGTAATTAGCCTGTATAGAAATATAATCCAGGTCATTGGTAGGAATGCATTTGGTGCTGATCACGTTATTTTCTAACGGAGGGTGTTCATAATCAACATTCGGTTCAGGCCACTTTTCATACATTAAATCTTCGAATAACCATTTATTAAAGATAGCATGAATATCATCAGCATTCGGTCGTTTTTTAGGTTCCCCGGACCAACACTCTCGTATTAGATTCGTTATATCACTTGGTACGTTGGACCCAATCGATGGCCGCTCACCGTTAATAATCTCCTGTGCCAGATAAACGTCGTGTGATAGAGTTCCATAGGGTTGTTTTCCTGACGTTATCTCCCACATAATGACACCAAATCCATATATATCAGCCTCATAACCATGTGGCTTTCCTAATAATACTTCTGGAGCGATATAAGGTAGCACACCAATTAAATTTGAACAATCGTTGGTCTCGGTATATGGTCTACACAGCCCTAAATCCGAGATGTAAAATCTATCATTCTTCCTTAGGATGTTCCCACTGTGAAGATCTCCGTGAACAAGTTGAGCCTTGTGTATAATTTGCAATGTTTTCGAAATGTCGAACATCATCTCTAGTTTTTCTTTCCATTTTATGGATCTAAAGTTTGTACGAATATAACGTTGCAAATCTCCATCTTCTGCATATTCCATCACTATGATATATTGTTTTGTTGGTAATTGACTTACCCCGTAGCAAAGTGGGGTATTGGTGTGATATAAACTTACTTGTATATCAAGCTGTTTATTTCGGAAGTTGTGTTCAATTAGATTGAGAATAACAAGGTTAAGAGATATAGAATTACCGAAAAAAAAAAGGTGCTTGTCCAAACATAATATAACAAAAACGTTACCTCTTTGATAAATTTGTCTATATCACTGGTGGAACCATGAAGACACTTTAGCGCAACTTTCTCGGGTCCAAGATTCAGAGGTCCGTTCTTCCAATTGGCAACATATATTAAACCTTCGCCGCCACGTCGCAGTAAATCAAGCCCTTCAAATTGGTCAAAAGGTATCCAGTCTACTTTCAGGTAAATTGGATTATCTTCATTTTCCAACCGTTTTCTCTTGAGATATTGGTCCAGTTTTCCATTGCCACTCGTGAAATTTTTTTTTATCATTATCCCGATATATAAAATTTGTTTATGTACGTAATTGATCTATTGTGAAGAAAAGAAAAATATGAATTAGAAAACGAATGAGCTCTAAATGGTTAATATATCCCTTAAGTTTGAACGAATAGCATTAGACTACTTCGAATAATAAATTCTTTCTATTTAAACTTCGCGAAAGAGAATTTTTTAAATATTACGTAAATTAATGAAATTAGCATACATAATAAGCCTGTATATTGGTTATTCTTTTCGAGGACACCTGTCGATGAACAAGGAAATACTCACCAGAATGTAACCTAATAGATCGAGCCCAAAGTTTGCAAGTCGTCATTTATATAAAAAAACAAATAAGGATAAATGCTTTGATGCCCCTAAAAGGAAATATCAAGTTTTTAAGGTTAGTAGACGTAAACAATGAAATAATTAAATAATGAAGCTACCAAGACAATACAAATAGTGTCACAATTTGAATATTTAATCTAACATTCAATGAGTGCTCAAATAAATTCAAATACTTACATATCTTTTTCTCATCATCTGTTCCATCGAAACCCCTTACATGTCGTATGATGTATGATAAACGATTTATAGAAAAAATTGCATCTTTGAAAATCCAAAGTTCGAATTATGCCTTATTGTATCCGGAAAATCATTTCTGTATTTTGATAATTTCACTCCAAAGTACTGCGGAAAAACGTGGCGCAAATTTGCGCCGCGTAGATATACTATATAGAAACAATTTTTTTTTTTTTTGTTAGGCGTTTCGTTACGGTTACCTAATTTATTCGATTCATTGAAATGTACATTAATTTCTTCTAAACTAGTCGTAAACAAGAAATTAACAAATTTTAGCATCTCCATTACAGTATTCATTCTATCCAACAGTATACGCATATTTTAACAGTGGTGAATTGCAAAAAATTGACGGATCAAGTAAAACACTGATAGATTGTTGTTTTCGTGTCCGACGCATGCATTTTCTTTTGTTTTTTTTTTATGTGAATACTGTACAAACAATATATTTCTATTATGTTTCTGAGGAAGAAGAGAATTCGGTGCGTTTGGGACTATATATTAAGCATTACACGATACTGTACTGTACACAGTACTGTAGTTTATTTTGCGTGTTCTTTTGGAATACAGATTTCTGACAAAACTGATCAGGAAGTTAACAATCAAGCTTTTAAGATTTATTCTTAAAATGAAAATAGTATCCATGAAGAAGCTTCTTTCCGAATTCGCGTACGACACAGTCAAATTATTCTTCTAAACTATTTATATATTTATTGACTGAATTATACGGTAATTATACGGAAGGAATGTACACATAATAAAGTCATAATTGTTGAGATTCAGCTTATAACTAAATATGATACAAGAGTGCTATGTTAAAAATAAATATAATCTAAATATAAATTAATGGTGCTTTGTATTTAAATCATTAGACAAACTTTAAATATGGTAACTTACCATAATATTTAGCCAGAGTCAAATTAACGTAGTCACTTTATCACAAAATTTTTCAAATTCTACTTTTGTTCAAAATTCTTTTTATTTCATTATGTGATTATCAATGTTAATTTATTATTGTTATTATCTATTATTTTTTATTTTTTCTTATTTAAAAAATTTCCAATAATATTTAAAAAGTATATACATATTTAAACTTAAAAAATTAAATTAAAAAAATAAAAAACATCGAGATGTACAAGTATTCAGCAGT